ATTGAGAGAGAGAGAGAGAGAGAGAGAGAGAGAGAGAGAGAGAGAGAGAGAGAGAGAGAGAGAGAGAGAGAGATTATTAATATTATTATTATTATATAGAGAGAGAGAGAGTAGGACTCCTCCATTAAGTGACTTTTGAATAACCTATTAGTTCACAATTTCTTGGTTTGCCTATGCATTTGATTGGAAAATATGTAAGGTTTTCTTCACTCTTGCTTGCCTGTCTTTGCACAGACATATTTAATGTATTCCTGCTTCAATATCTGGCATTTGTCCCACACTTTCAAAGAGCTCTTCACACCATACTGCCGAAAATCTGAGGGCCATTTTTTTCCTCCAGTAATGAAACACACATCAACATAGCAACAACGCTGCGTTCGGTTCATGAAAGTTCAGTAGGAGCACAGGGTGCAGCAAATGTTGCGCTAATACTAGCAAATATTACGTTTCCAAACCACTAAACGTTTGTACGCCTGACCTGTAAGCTGCAGTCATGGAGACTGTAACCATGAACACTGATATGTTTACAGTAGTGTTTTAAATACCACAATCTTGGAAGACCCAGAAGTCTTCTTCTCTGGATTCTTATATGTGTGTGTGTATGGGGGGGGGGGGACATTTGGCAAGTGAGGACATTTGGCCGGTCCTCACAAGGAAAAAGGCTATTTTAGGCTTAGGGGTTAGGGTTTAGGGTTAGAATTAGGGTAAATATTAGGTTTAGGGTTAGGGGTTAGGTTTAGGGTTAGGAGTTAGGGTTAGGGTAAAGGTGTAGGGTTAGGGATAAGGAAAATTAGAATTTTGAATGGAAATCAATTGTTGGTCAGACCCCAAAAAGTGTGTGTGTGTGTGTGTGCTTGTGCGCACGTGTGTGTGTGTGTGCATTTGAGAGAGAGAGAGAAAGCAAGAGAGAGAAACCAGGATAAATAACTTATCCTTGTGCTTGAGCACATAGGTAATAGCAGCACATGTATATAATAACAGTATATGTAAAATGAGGTGAAATAAGTGTCTCTGAATTCACTACTGCAGTCCATTCTAAATGAAACAGTTGAGTGAATAGGGGTGGGAGATGACAGGCTGAGACACAATAGATAAGCCTGAGCGTCGGTTTCTGCATTGTCATTGCCAATGAATCAATGCCTGCCCTCTCAATAACCTCTTCATGAGGGTGTGTGTGTGGGTTGGAGCTTTAATATGTAGGTGACGATAGCTGAATCATGGTTGGCTGTGGTGTGTGAATAAGTGTCTGTATCGTATATAAACTGAATGACACTTAGGTTTGATTATCTTTTCTGGATTTCCAATACCTTCTGTTTTTCCTCTAACACTCATTTCATTGTTGGATAGGGAGGTTACAATAATGTTCCCAACACTCAATTTTACCAGACAAGAACAAGGCGGTCTGTAGGCATTTGCCTTAAGAAATGTGTCAAACAGTGTAATAAATGCAATACACTGTATTCCTATTACCTAGCAATAACTGTAAAAACATCACAACCTATAACAGTAATATCATCACTACATGTACAATGATAGTTTTTACATAATTCTCAGAAAATGAATTCCATTTTATTTGACAAAGAACCAAAGGGCTATATAGGTAAAATGTTGGGAATATCTCAATAATATCACTTTTCATCCAGATGTTTTCTCAAAGTTCTCTTATTCTTTAAAAAAAATCTTATTCTCTTCTACATCCCTCCTCTTTCTCCGTATCTTTCCATCTCTCTCTCTACCGGCCAGGTGCTAGTGTAATCGGATATGTTCTCAGAGCGTGGCAACGATGACATGGCAGGTTCAAGGTCACTGTGGGACCAGAGACCGTGGACAACGTGCTGTGAGGAGAAAAAGGGTGGGTGTGGGTAGCAGTTGTAGTGGTAGTGTATCAAATAAGATCATTACAAGAGCGAATAGTGGATTTTTGTCTATCTGTCTTGTGTCCATATATCTGTGCAATGCCTGATTGGTGTGCTATTCCATTAGAGACCAACCCTTAATTGTTACAACTCCAAAAGTTACAACACATGGAGTGGTCGCATTTCTTGGACTGAACAGGATCAGTTGAGGTGCAAACAAATGCACATACAGTAAGTACATGATTCATGGGCTCCGTGTGTGAACCCAGACATCAGACGGACACTTGTTGTGCCATCTAGTGTTCATTTTGTAAATACATGGACATATGTTGGGTATATACACTGAGTGTACAAAATATTAGGAACACCTGCTCTTTCCATGACATAGACTGACCAGGTGAATCCAGGTGAAAGCTATGATCCCTTATTGATGTCACTTTTTAAATCCACTTCAATCAGTGTAGATGACAGTGAGGGTCTTTAAGCCTTGAGACAATTGAGACATGGATTGTGTATGTGTGCCATTCAGAGGGTGAATGGGCAAGACAAAATATTTAAGTGACTTTGAACAGGGTATGGTAGTAGGTGCCAGGTGCACCGGTTTGAGTGTGTCAAGAACTGCAACGCTACTGGGTTTTTCAAGCTCATCAGTTTCCCGTGTGTATCAAGAATGGTCCACCACCCAAAGGACATCCAGACAACTTGACACAACTGTGGGAAGCATTGGGGTCAATATGGGCCAGCATCCCTGTTGAACGCTTTCGACACCTCGTAGAGTCCATGCCCCGACAAATTGAGGCTGTTCTGAGGGCAAAATAGGTTGCAAGTCAATATTAGGAAGGTGTTCATAATGTTTTGTACAATCAGTGTATAGAGTACATGATTTCATTTGAAACAGATTGTGCCTATAAATTACTCAGATAAAGATGCGTCATACAAAGGAACAAAAGACAGTCCTTGTATTTCTTTATTAGAATATTATTGCAGACAGTAATAGGCTATGGTACTGTACTTTTTGAGGTTTCTGTCATTGAGGAAACTTTTAAGAAGTGAAATGTCCATTGCAGCACCCTAGAAGGCCATTGCATTTAGCATTTTAATTTAGGCAGTGGTGGAAAAAGTACCCAATTGTCATACTTGAGTAAAAGTAAAGATACCTTAATAGAAAATTACTCAAGTAAAAGTGAAAGTCACCTAGTAAAATATTACTTGAGTAAAAGTCTAAAAGTATTTGGTTTTAAACATAGAGTATACTGAACAAAAATATAAACGCAACATGTAAAGTGTTGGTCCCATGTTTCATGAGCTGAAATAAAAGATCACAGAAATGTCCATACGCACAAAAAGCTTATTTCTCTCAAATTCTGTGCACAGATGTGTTTACATCCCTGATGGTGAACATTTATCCTTTGTCAAGATAATCCATCCACCTGACAGGTGTGGCATATCAAGAAGCTGATTAAACAGCATGATCATTATACAGGTGCACCTTGTGCTGGGGACAATAAAATGCCACTCTAAAATGTGCAGTTTTGTCACACAACACAATGCCACAGATGTTTCAAGTTTTGAGGGAGTGTGCAATTGGCATGCTGACTGCAGGAATGTCCACTAGAGCTGTTGCCAGGGAATTGAATGTTAATTTCTCTACCATAAGCCACCTCCAACGTCGTTTTAGAGAATTTGGCAATACGTCTAACCGGTCTCACAATTGCAGACCATGCGTAACCACACCAGCCCAGGACCTCCACATCTGGCTTCTTCACCTGCGGGATTGTCTGAGGCGGGGAAGGCGGAGGGGTGCTGAGGAGTATTTCTGTCTGTAATAAAGCCCTTTTGTGGGGAAAAACTCATTCTGATTGGCTGGGCCTGACTCCCCAGTGGGTGGGTCTGGCTGCCAAGTGGGTGGGCTTATGCCCTCCCAGGCCCACCCATGGCTGCGCCCCTGCCCAGTCATGTGAAATCCATAGATTAGGGCCTCATTTATTTATTTAAATTGACTGATTTCCATATATGAACTGTAACTCAGTCAAATCATTGAAACTGTTACATGTTGCATTTATATTTTTGTTCAGTATACTTAAGTATCAAAAGTAAATGTAATTGCTAAAATATACGTAAGTATCAAAAGTAAAAGTAAAAGTATAAATCATTTCAAATTCCTTATATTAAGCAAACCAGACAGCCCCATTCTTGTTTTGACCATTGATCCTGTTGACTCTTGGAAGTCTCAACCCTACTACCCCCAGAAACCATGGATGTCCTTCGATGAGATACAGGTGTGACGCTGGCCAGGTGTCTCCAAATAACCATGTACAATAGATAACCTGGTTTCTCAATTTTGGTGAAACTCACAATAAACCAAAGGATGCATTTCTAACACTGCCGCTCTTCATTTCGGACACAGGCGTACTCAGCAGAGACATTATGGCCTTACTTCCTGTGGCAGATCATGCCTCCTTCACCCCCTGAGCAGAGGAGAGCCTCCAGCATGTGGAGAGACATGGAGAAGGCCCGTTCACGTAGCCCTGTGCTGCAGAATCCCACCCCAGAGGAGAGGTGCTTTGTCCAAGAGAGCCGTTTATGGAAATATATGGCTCTGTCCTCCACCTCGTCCATGAGCCAGAACACTGTCTCTCCCTGAGGGGGACTCTGAGATGGAAGAGGAGTAGATCAGCGGCCAGAAGAGCCAGGCTGAGGACCAGGGTGTGGCCCACCTTCCAGATGCCATCCAGGGACATATTTATTTATTTATTATATTGCATTGTGGTCCTAGACTGATTTCTAAATCCATTTTTACAATATGTTGTTTTTTATCCATTTGTTTCCACTGAATAAAAAGTGTTGTTCCCACTTTTGTTGAAAAAATAGATATATTAATAGGCCCTTATAATAAGGCATAATAAACGTAAGGTAGATATAACTGAACGCATTTTGAAATAAATATTTTGTAGGCTAGCAGCTAGCTTGTTTACTTTTTTAAAGGGCACTGCCCCATTCTATCCCACTATAATTGAAGGAGAGATGGAGGATAGAAAAGAGAAAACAAAGCTTTCTGATTATAGTAAACCAGGACTAGACGGGGATTAACGATTTTGACTTCGTCAGCAGCATTCAGCTCAGAAACTAAGCAAGTCGGAGGATAGGAGGTCGTCGTTCGCGATAACCGCATGCATAGATTTTTTAGCAAATTCCAACATCACGGTCCCGGCTATAGCCTACCTGTCAGGTCACTTCTGCTGTGGGTATCACGTTGGTGCGACCGACAGAGCACATTTCAGCTCAGCTGATCCATTTTTTTTCTCAATTTGGTCAAGATGGCAGAACTGGTAAGTGAATATGAGAAATATGTTTTAATTTATTCCAAAAATGTGCAGCATAGGCTAGGACTACTAGATACAGACCTTTGGGAAAAAGGAATAGATTAATTTACATAGAATATAATATCTAAATTCCTCAACAAGGTAGGCTACGTTGACTGGAGTAAAAGTCGCTCAAGTGCTACTAATAGGCTACTTTATCACTAATCCTCAATGGAATGTAGACTCGAGTTTAACTCCATCTGCTGTAATTTTTCAGCAAGTGCTGATCATACGAGGCACGCACACACGGACGTCAGTCTTGTCGACATCATGCAGCATCAATTTATTATGGCGCCCTCAATGTGCACTGTGTTATTTATTAATTTCATTAAGGCAATACGTGTTTTTATACCAATCTAGGCTATGCTCTATAATTTTCATGTAAAGTGCAATTTTCTTGAAAACTGAGCAGTGTTCTATGTTTGCTTGAAGCATACAGACTACTGTTGAAAACATGTAAAACATGTATTTTGTGTTCTTCCGTTTCTGAAGAGAACTGTGGCTACTGGTGACCATCCTAACAAATCTGATAGAAATAAATGCAGTCCAATCTCCCTTGACCAAGAGGTTGTGCGAAGACTGGTAAGCTTTATGTTATTTTGATTAACTTACCAATATGAACCCTATTCTGAAGAACATTTTAGTTTTTTTTGTACATGAGTGTATGTTCAACATGACTTCTGGATATGTGAAGAAAATGTATGGTACTTTGTTCTCAGTCAGTTCCATTCAGTGGTCGTATCAGAGGTGGGATGAGGCCTGGAAAGAAGATCATTGTGATGGGGATAGTGAATCCTGAGCCTGACAGGTACATTGGACACACCCACATCATGTCTGCATACCAAATGGCACCTTTTTCCCTATACAGTGCACTACTTTTGACCAGAGCCCTGGTCAAAAGTTGTGCACTATAAAGGGAAAAGGTTTCCATTTGGGACGTCGAGCATGACTATCCTTTATCAGATACCAGTTAGCTCAGCTACAAATAATATTGTAGTGTGGCTTACATACAGTACCTTAGAAAAACCTGCTCTAAGTTGTATTGGAATTCTATTGCCATGTGGAGTGGGAAAATGCCACAGAAGTTGGGAGGATGGAAGTGTCAATGTCAGGATTGTAATCCACTTTGTACAAGGTCAGTAAGTACCGTAGATGTAAACAATGAAACACAAAATATATAACAGACGTAGACTACCTTTTCTAACACACTTACCTTTTTTGGTCTTTGTGGTTACCCAGCTTTGACATCAGTCTGGCCTGTGGGTGTGGCACAGTGGAGGAGGCTCCTCCCATTGACGTGGCACTGGAGCTCTGTGCCAGGTTCGAGGACCGCCAGTTCCTACGCAAGGCCTGTGTCTCAGGTATCTGGGGCGACGCTGAGAAGCCCATCCCCTACTTCCCCTTCATCGAGGATCAACCTTTCCGGGTATGTGGAGGATCTTCATTTCTTCTCAGTGGCTCATCTTTGTACTCCACCCTTTGATAGTGTCACTGAATCCTGCAATTTATAGCATAGGGTTATGATTATAATATAGGTTCTAATGTGATTATAGCATAGGGTTAGGTTTACATAGGAATAAACAGATACATTTAATATTGTTTCATAGGATTAAGCACGTTTTGAGAACTCTGAAATAAAGTGTCAGGTATCATTCAGGTTCAAGAAGGTATCACATGATTTAAGACTCACAATACAACAATATGGTTGAACTTCCTCCCCTCCCGTTGTTTCTTCCCCAGATCGAGATCCATTGTGAACTACTGCGTTTCCGTGTATTTGTGGATGGACACCAGCTCTTTGATTTTTACCACCGGGTGCGATGCTTACTGGATATTGACACATTAAGGATTAATGGTAGTCTGACCATTACCAAACTCGGATAGAAGGAAGAAGGACTATGTAGGATGCACCTTACGGAAGTGGTAATGGAACCTTGCCTGCCGCAATCCTCACACTTAGCAATAATGTGGACATCGGCTTGAAAGCAATGTCTTAGCCTCTTTGAGCCTTAGCTGACAAAATCGATTGCAAAGCAATGTTCTGTCTTCGGATTTTCGATAGGATGTAGCCTACCTATTTCTCTTAGTTGTGATTTATTTTTTGTTTCATGGTATTGAGTGCTGTTGGTTTGAGATGGTCATGAAATAAAAAGGCTTCCAGGATAAAAATAAAACTTTAATTGATCAGAGATCTTGAGATTCTCAGGACAGTGCCCTGCCGTGGGTGCTGTCCTTCTGCATGATAATACAAAAATAATGTTTCTTCTGGGAATATACTTTTCCATTACCTCTACACAGCTTTGGGTCAGCTTGCTGTGTAGGGGAATAATACAACATACATTACATTCAGTATACTACAAAATACTACTACCAGTGGTGTAAAGTACTTAAGTAAAAATACTGTAAAGTACTACTTAAGTCGTTTTTTTGGGTATCTGTACTTTACTTTACTATTCATATTTTTGACAACTTTTACTTTTACTTCAGTACATTCGTAAAGAAAATAATGTACTTACATTTTACTCCATACATTTTCCCTGACACCCAAAAGTACTCGTTACATTTCGAATGCTTAGCAGGACAGGAAAATGGTCCAATTCACACATTAATCAAGAGAACATCCCTGGTCATCCCTACTGCCTATGATCTGACTTTCACTTTTACTTGAGTCATTTTCTATTAAGGTATCTTCTTTACCTTTACTCAAGTATGACAATTGGGTACTTTTCTCACCAGTGACTACTACTCAGTATTACTACAGCCAGTGCAGATGTATTTTGGATGCAGACTATTCTCCACTTGTCCATGTAGTCTATGATCTGCTTCCAAAGCAGTGGGAAAACCAAAAGCTCTTGTTGCATGCTGGGTAATATTCGGAGAGAGAAGGGGCCAAAGTCGGATCATCATCATAACCGGCTGACTCAACCTTAGCTAGTTGTCTCTGTCAGAGCGAAACCACCTTGCTGTCTTGTTTTAAGTCTGACAAGTGTCCACTACATCTGAACCATGGGAATGAATGGTGAAGATCTTAAGGTATGCCGAAATGTTTATTGGTACACTGCCATCCAACCCGGATACAGGATACAATGAGACTAGCTAACGCAAGCAAGCAAGCAAGCTAGCGAGAGATGGGAGGACAACTTGATAGCTAGCTAACAGTTAGCTACAAATGTCAGTGCATTAGCAAGCATCACAACTACCTACAAAGCTAGCTAGTTACTTTGTCACTTCTGCCCTCGATATCGAATCTATGTAGAAATATATTTTCATAATAATTTAGCCTACTGCTAGCTAGCTATTCATTCGCATAGGCTACCAGGTTGTTGTTATTAGATTGCTAGCTACGACATTTGTGCTGGCTAGTGGTAGCTAGCTACACTGGCTACGTATCAAGGCTAACAGCCAGCCAGCTAGCTAGCTATCCCCCCTGCCCTCCCCATCTGATGGAGAGCAAGGTGTATGCCAGCTATGGCCTGTTTTCCAATCTAGCCTAAGCCTGGCTGGCACGTATGGTAATTTAGCTGTTAGTTAGTATAATCAAACTAGTTAACTATCTGGTTGACGTTAGCTATTTGGCTAGCTAACTAACTTGCTTGGGTTAAGTCGATAATCGGCAACAAATGATTATAGGGAGGGTTGAGTGATGATCTTTGTTTTGTTTACCCAGAGGTTTCCAGATAGTGTTTTGTCATCACCTGTCAGTTTTAGGCTTGTTGACAGACAGTCTAATTTGGTGAAAAAATGGTGAATGACTAACTAGCTGGACAGGACAGAGGGTAGGAGGACACCTGTTTCTGATGTGTCAATTAGTTAACAATGTTGTGTTATAAACAGATTAATGTTGCATTATAAACATATAATGTTGCATTATAATATGTTGAATCATAAACATTCATTCCACATACCATATCATGCAATCATAGAGCCCATAAAACAGGAATAGGCAGTGTTATTTGTTGTGAATAGCCAATACAATAGCTATTGTATTTAATGCCATCTTGCTTTCTTAGACAGTATCAGACGCCACTTCAAGTAGCCTAGAGATTTAACAATGTTTCAAATGCTTTCCAAGGTTTTATGTCAAGACATTCTAGGCCTAGGATATATACTCAAGGCCTCATGGGCATTAATTTTCTGTTCTAAAACATTGTGTCCAGATTTGTGTCCAGTTTTGACTCAGAACTGTACTTTCACCGCTCTAGTCTGGATGCGAGTAAAGCACAATTTAGGCTTAAGAGTGCATTGTGCAAGTTCAGCCTTGAGCATCCAAAAATGTCTATGCCCTATGTCTGGTTTAGTGATGAAATCGAAATTGTCAAGGAAATGGATCACACGTGGAGGCACAACATGCCTAGGCCTATGATCTAAGTCTAATATTTCAAAAGGAGGCATTCTACATATCTTGACAGGCCTATGTCAATATACAAATACTACACGCACACAACCCTTAGGTCCATGCAAACACAAATTGGGTACAAAGTTAATTGGTTGAAGTAATTAGGCTAGTTTAAATAAACACAAATGATATTTGTACTGATAAAAGAAAGTGTAGCTCATTTTCAGTTCTCATTTGCTACTATTTAGGTGGGTCATAAGAAATGAGCGTCAACATTGCCTTTCTGGCCTTTTCTACATCACAACACCACTTCGCCATTATCACTTAATTACTGTCAATTTGAAAACAATCTGTCCACTCTTAGCCTGGAGAGCTTTGGTAATTTAATTTGGGTTAAGGCTGAAGCAACACACCAGACAAAGAAAACAGCCTAGATCCTAGACTCCACCAGAGACCGCTTCTAGGTCTGTAGGCTAACACGTTGATGTTTTGTAAATTCTGACCTTTTAGTCCTCAGAAATCTGTTTTTAAGAGGGAAATGGTGTAAATTCTTGCATTTATGCACCCTTCATTGTTTGGTCACACTGACTAGTGTCTTTCCCCTCCATAGGTGTAACCTCAAGGCATAGTGTGACTGCTTCAGGACCATGGAGCCGGACGTGATCCGCATGTACTCCTCCTCCCCACCCCCAATGGAGGACGGAGCTGAGGAAGAGGACGACGAGTTTGGGGACTTTGGGGGCTTCTCTGGAGTTCCGACCAGCGCCAGCTTCACTGAGTTTGACACCCCAGCGACCTTCAACCAGACCCCATCCTTGGCCGCCACCTCACCACCCGAACTCCTCAACAATGGAGGGGTGGTTGGGTTGTCAAACCTCAGCTCAGGTCCCGTGGGAAGGGGTCCCGTGGTCGAGCGCTCCAACTCCAAGTCAAATGGTGTCGTGCCGGGTGGCTACCAGTACGACAGTCCTTCGGAGAGAACTGTGAATGTGGAGGAGTTGAAAAAGCTTGCCGACCACACTCGAGACAATAATCATTCTACCTCCCTGGACATATCTGGGAGGGGTCAGACTGACCACATAGACAAGCCCGTTGATTGCAACGGTGGGGTCGCGGAGGTTCTGACCAACGGCTTTGCTACTTTTGAAATCGAGGGAAGCCCATCTTCGCAGAATTCGATCCACTCTAAAAAGAAAGGAACCACCACAGAGTGTGCAGACTACTGCCCTCCCAGCAGCCCCGAGGACGACTTTGCAGATTTTTCAGCTTTTTCTAACGCAGATGTTCAAGGACACTCCAGCGAGGTGACAAACCGCACGAGCGAGAACAATCCCAACCGGGACGAACGGCTGGCAGAGGACACCTGCCAGCAACAGAGGCAGCAGGAACACTCTAATGTAGAGCAGGGAATCAGCTCAGAGGACAACGTCAGGGACACTCACATTACAACTGGATCCAACGACATCGCTGGCTCTGATTCTCTATCGCACCCTGCTGAGGCTCGAGACACTGACGAAGGCTTGAGCAACGGGGGCGGGGGCTTTCATAGAGACACTGCTAACTCTGAACAAAGGAACGTAGACCCGGACTTTGCACACGAGCACTCTGCTCCTGAGGTGGTTATTAGTGAGGATTCTGCCCCAGAGGAGGTTTGTAGTGAGGACTCTGTCCCCAAGGTAGTTTGTATTGAGGACTCTACCCAAGAGGTGGTTTGTGGCGAGGACTCTGCCTCCAAGGCACTTTATGTTGACGAACCGGTCACCCAAAACGGTGTGGATTTGGAGCAGTCGGAAGAGGAGGGGGCAGAAGAAGAGGCAGGTGTCAGTGAAAACAGGGTTTTGCCCTATACAGACGATGAAGATGGGAATGGTGAGCAAGCAGACGAGAAGCCGGGGTCCGGAAACGAAACAGAAACAGAGACTGAAACGTCTTTCGGTCGACCGCTGTCCACGGACGCCCTTGAGGAGTACGGCGACATCAGCACGACGGGCTCGGTGCCCTCGCCGCCGCTCCAAGAGGAGACGGCCACGCCTGCTGACCACAGCCAACTGCCGGAGGACGACGATGGTGAAGACTTTGGTGACTTTGGAGACTTCGGGGACGTGGCCTCTTTTAGCGGACAGGGCTTTGCTGACTTTGACCAGCCAGAGTTGCAACTAGAGGAACTCACACAGGAACTAGTGGACGACGACAAAGACTTTGGCGATTTCGACGCCCCCAACAGCCACATTGTTGGTGGGAAGGCAATTGAGGACGAAGATGGGGGGAAGTTTGCCGATTTTCCCGGCAGCGACAGTTTTGCAGACTTTAGCTCAGCTCCAGTTGGTGCCGACCCTGATGCAGATGCTGGTTGGAATGCCTTTGATGAGCCTGAACAGGGTCAAGGGGAGGGCGATTCCTGGGCTGCATTTGGAGAGGAGCCGACCACCGCTGCTCCTTTGGAAACGGGTGAAGACGACTGGCAGGAGAGTGAACCTGTAGCAGCCCCTCCACCCAGCAGCCATCAGATCAGTAGGAGAGACAGTCAACCGGTACGTTTTTCTGTGCAAGTTTGACCACTCAGGGTTTGAACTCGGTTCTCCTGCGCACCACAATCACATATTACGCTTCTGAGCTAAAGGCTCAGGGAGCCAATACAAGTTGTCAAGTCTCAGGCAAGATAACTCATCACGTGAGTGTTTCTGAACCACCTCTGTAGCGTTCAGAAATGTAGCATACTTGACAGGAAGGTAGTGGTGTTTAAAAACCCCTCTTACACTAATCAAAGGTTCCCTATTGAATGTTGTTATAATGCACTATCCAGGAAAAGTATGCTCAATGACACTTTTAGGGGAATTCTGACGCTCTCATGACGTTTATCACTAGAGTAGTAGAGAGCCGTACACCTGCCCTGCCTTAGGAATGTGACCAGGCAGGGAATTCCACCTTTTCAAGGACATACCATTTAGCAATGCCCTTTCTTGTCCTTGCTATTGGAGTCAGGCACTACAACTAATTGAGGATTTGAAATGTGTTGATTTAATCACGTCGGTCATTGTTGAACAGGATAGAATACAGCTTTATTGTCCATCGAGACAGAAATGTATATTTGAGCTGTCTGTCTATTGTATTGTGCATCCCCTGTACAGCAATGCAGGCTAACTGCCAGCTGCCACACGTGACAACAGAAGATTTATTCAACCCGTATCTTATTCAACAATGTTGGTCGTTATCATGTGTTTGTTATACCAGGCGGCGCTGTGCAGTCGGCTGGAGAAGCTCTTTCAGGAAATGTTCCCCGACGCACCTGCCCCGCAAGTGGGGGAGGAGGTGGTCCCCCTCAAAACCCTGCTGGAGCCTCCTGTGAGGTTACAGCAGGAAGTGCGTGAAATGAAGAGCAGTGTGCCAGACAATGGGTGAGAGAAATGTGCCCCTTTTAATTAGGGCTGGGACGATACTAGGATTGCAATATTTCTTCCATGGCAAAAATGAAAACACGAAGCAAATCAAACTCTTTGATCCTTAAAAACCTGCTGTATGTAAAATATTGTGTGCTATAGCTTGGAAAATAAATAAATGTGACTCTGGATGACAACATAATGACGTTTGTTTCCAACATTAGGGCTGTTTTCCTAAAGAAGTTAAAACGCTTCGTGTTTTGTTTCCTTGCCACGATGCTAACGAGTATTGCGATGCTAGTATCGTCCAGACCCTACTTTTAATCTCCTTACTATAAAGTTAGGCTAATATCCTATAACTACACACAATCTCATCAATACACAGAAAGACTCACCAGGTGTCAACACATTTTTGGTCTGCTTAATCTTTTTTTATACAACAAAAATATACTGTTACTGTGTCTGTATACTACGTCAAGAATTTTTGCGTACTACTATGACGTTTTTTTTAAAACGTTCTTGCTTTGTCATCGTTGTCCGTTGCTACAGGGTCGTGGGGGACGTGTTGTGGAGGCAACTGCTGGACATCCACGAGGCGTTTGGCCTGCGGCACCAGTGGGGCGGCTCGCACAGCAACAAGACACTACTCTGCTCCCTGGGCATCGACATTAGAAACATTGTGAGTTCTGTAGCTGGGTCACCAGTCATCACATTGTCTGTGTCCCAAATGGCACCCTATTCCCTATATAGTGCCCATAGGGCTCTGGTCAGCAGTAGTGCACACTATAGGGAATAGGGTGCCATTTGGAACATGCCATTCTCCCCCTTTCTGTGACCTTGTCCTTTTTTTTATTAAAGGCTCTGTGAAAGAAACACTAACCGTGATTGTATTTCAGATGAATTGCGAGAATGTTTTGACTTCTCGTCTGTCTAATGGAATAAGGCTGTTTATAAGACTATTTTTAGCAGAGAGAGGAGGAATGATTGTGAAATGTGTTCTGTGTTTCCCCACAGCTGTTCACAGGTCAGAAGAAGCAGCCAGTGATAGTTCCCATGTATGCTGCCAGCCTGGTGAGTTAACTATAGGCTGCAAGGATGTATTGATCTCTCCCTAGTTCAAGATTAGGCCTTCAAACCACCCACTCGCTCCCTCAATTGTTTTACCCCTCTCAAAGAAATGGACCAAGAGACAAATGAACTCAAGGGTTATAACATTTAAAAAAATTGGGTGACATTTTTGTCAACTGGTTGCAAAAAAAATGTCACTGACACATACAGTACCAGTCAAAAGTTTGGACACACCTACTCATTCCAGGGTTTTTATTTCTTTTTTACTATTTTCTACATTGTAGAATAATAGTGAAGACATCAAAACTATGAAATAACACATGGAATCATGTAGTAACCAAAAAAGTGTTAAACAAATCAAAATATATTTTATATGAGGTTCTTCAAAGTAGCCACCCTTTGCCTTGATGACAGCTTTGCACACTCTTGGCATTCTCTCAACCAGCTTCACCTGGAATTATTTTCCAACAGTCTTGAAGGAGTTCCCACATATGCTGAGCACTTGTTGGCTGCTTTTCCTTCACTCTGCAGCAGTGGCGGCTGGTGAAAAATATTCTCGGTGGGGCTGTGCCATACTTTTTTTTTCCTGTAACCATCGCGATATATTTTAACACAAACTGCAGGACAGCAGTGCTCAGTGAAACATTCAGTAATTATTTAATGCCAATATTAAAAAGTTGAGGCATTCTTACACAAAAACATATTACACAAACCCAAGCCTTTCATTTGCATTTAAAGTGAACTTTTCACCATTGGTAGTAAACAGGCAACGCAACAGGCATGCTGTCAGAACAGAGTGGAAAGTGGACAATAACATGAAATTATTATAAAGTTTATAGGAAATCTTACACTGTATAAAAGGATGTATAATATAGAAATGGATATCAAGTGGATGAACTCAAACCTTTGACTGGAAGAATAGCATACAGTATTTTATGATCATACTAAATGTGACTAATTGTTAATGTGCTCCAGAACTGCAACAATTAATTGATACAAAACAACATATATACAGTAATATTAGCAAAGACACTATTAAGACTTTCTAGAGTACCATATATAACTGGATTTTTTATGCTAAGGTCAACTATATACAAAGAAACATGCGGCCAGAGCTGCTCTGTGTGTGTGTGTCTGTCATCTTATTTGTACAGGAATTTTGCCCGTCTGTCCTTCTGAGTGGCAAACCTCTCAATGACCCTTTGATTAAAGTCAGGAATGTCCCTGACAAGTTTCTTCTCCATGGAGAGCATGGCCAGAGCGTTCAGGCGATCCTGTGTCATGCTGTTTCTCAGGAAGGTCTTGATCCTTTTCAGTGTAGAGAAGCACCTTTCTGACTCAGCAGTTGTCATGGGTGTGGTGATGAGGATCTTGAGGAGGCTGGCAGTCTCTGTGAAAGTGCTCTGAAGGTTGTTCTCCATGAAGAACTGGTACAGGGGCACTGCACCACTACAAGCCTTGAACTCACTGTTCTCATAGATGAGGGACAGTTCGGTTTTGAGCTTGGCCTTGTTCAACATGGGGTACGCCTCCACGGTTGTTTCAAGCGCTGTATCGGGGAACTTCACACTGTGTTGTGGGAACAACTCTCCGTGCAATAGTGTTGCGCTGATGAGGTGCTGGGTGAAGGAGAACCTCTCTTTGGCATGACTCAGGATGGTATCACATACCTGTAAAAGATACATCATCAGCTTTAATTTGCAATTAAGCTATTTTGATGCAAGTGATCCTGACTGACACATGCCTATGTCCAACTCAAGTATATGATTACCAAGGTGCTGATTGTTCAGGGTTTTGGCTACATACTACCAGGCCTGAAAAAAGTTCTAGGGGGAAACACTGACAATTACATCACAACTTACCTCTATAGCCAACCTCTGTTGTTCTCCTGGTCCCAGCATCCTCCGTCGCTTGATGGGCTGTTGCTGCTCGTCAGATGCGCTGTCCCCACACAAAGAGGGAATTGAGGCCCTGGGTCCAAAAAATAAAGTTTAATTTGATAACTTGCAATCAGACTTCTTAACTCACTGTAATTCCCCCTCAACACACAACCAGTGACTTTTATATATATATATATATATATATATATATATATATACAGACAGACAGACAGACAGACAGATAGTGTGTATATACACACAAACTATGTCTAGTAACTGCTTTTAACCTGTGATGTACATAATTAACTGATGTTATTACGTTTTAAAGCCTTTTTCTATTACATTTGTGAGAGGGATGCAACATCATTTTGTTCTGCTGTGCACTTAGCAATAAAGTTAATCTTCAATAACAACTAGGCCTCTTCTAGAAATTGACCTGGTGGACACCTGAATAATTATTACAAACTGTGTAGTACTTTCCTGCATTATTATCAACGTCTGATTGTGTCTTCTCTTTCCTTTTAAAATACTAAAACAAATATAATTGTGACGGCTCTATGATAATCACTCACTTTGATGACCAGACACATTTAGGCTTTTAAACTGTTGTAAGTGAACTATTCATCTTTCTAACAACATCTTTATCAGCCAATAGTAAATATAGTTATTTACCTGATTGTTAGCATGCTGTCTGTGAACCTCTGGACAAGTGCTTTAATGAAGACAGGGTTGATGTTCCTCTTCTGCAGCTGGCTGAAAAGCATGTCCACATTTGGCATGATCTTGTGGAACAGTGCCAGGAAAAAACAGAAAGCCTCGTCTTCGAGCATCCTCACAAAGCCCCCCGCCTCTCTGACAGTCGGGGCATCAAAGTTCCCAGAGTCTCTGATGGTCTGGAAACACGTTAGGAGGTCATCCCTGTACTCGTACACAGTGTTTACAGCGCGACTGTGGAAGTTCCACTGTGTTGTAGAGGCTCTGGGGAGTCTATGCGCAACCACTTCGTCAAGCACGGTGGTTCGCTTGGGAGACCTGGAGAAGAAAGCAGAAAATCCTGCAAGGTCGGAAAAGAAAGTGCCGATCCTGGGGATGCGTGAAGTAGCCTGCTGCATGATGAGGTTCAGCTGATGTGCATAGCAGTGGACGTAGTGCGCATTTTCGTACACATCCACTATTTTACGCTGCACTCCGCCGGTGGCTCCCCTCATCACACTTGCTCCGTCGTAAGCCTGGGCAATAAGTTTGGCCTTTTGTCCATGTGAGAGTATGGTGCTGAGCCTCTCCAGCAGCGCTGTAGCGATGGTGTCGGCGGTTGCGTTCTCGATCAAAATGAACTCGAAAAAAACGCTCTTGGACGTTACTTTTAGCATCGATGTAGCGTATCACAAGCACCAACTGGCAGTGGGTGGAAACGTCAGTCGTCTCGTCAGCTTGAATGGCGATAAAATCAGCACTCTTTACTTCCTCCAGGATGTAATCCTTAAGCACTGACAGCATACAGTCCAACAGCTCGTTCTGTATCGTCTTTGACGTGCCCTTAAAAACGGTAGCTGTCTTCAGGTGCTCCTCCAGCACACTGTCGAGGGAGGCAACAAAATCCACTAAGCCCCGGAAAATGCCGGGGTTGTCCGAGGAGTCAGTCTCCTCGTGCCCACGCAAGGCCAACTCAAAAGCCCCACAGAACTTCACACAATCGATAATTTTGGATAGAATGTGCCTGTTTTTATCCACCTCCTCATTGTGTTTCCTCACCGCAATCCTGTGGCCGTCATCCAGCTGCGTAGCAATGTTCACCCTTCCTAATACAGCTAGCTTTACAGAGTTGTCCATGTGTGCCCTGGTGTTCTCATGTTTCTTTACCTTCTCTGACAGGTGCTTCATATCCCTCACTCCGGTACCTGTCCATGCTGAATCTGACCCCGTCGTTTTAAAAAGCAAGCACGGAAAGCAAAATAAAGCATTAGCATCAGTGCACCCAGCTAGCCAAGCCTTCCTGGTGTACCAGCTACGGGAGAAGCCGCGCATATACTGCTTCCCTTTCTTGCTAGCCTGCTGTCTGATTGAGAGGTCAGGTTGATCTGGGCCCAGCTCTTTCACCCAAACTTTCTCTGACAAAGTTCTCCTCTCAAACGGATCTTGGAGGAGAGATTTCACCGAGTTAGGGTTGGGTCTTGGAGGAGTAACGTTTGCGCTCGCCATTGTCGTCTAGTAAAAATGGCGCCACTGGAGCCCGGTCCTTATTTTATCAGGGGCGAGCTTGGGGCGATAAAATAATCGCCCTCCTTGGATTCGATTTAAGATCGCTGATTGGCTACATTTTATGTCATACATTCATATCTTAAATTAGCAATTGGCTTAACTGCTACGTAGACCCGCCTCCTCGGGGCACTTTCTGTATCGCCCAGAGCTGACGAGGCGTTTGACAGGCAGAGGAAAGGTTGCGAATATGATTTTCTATCATATCTTACACATATTACTGTGTGCATTCCATATTTCAAACACACAAATATTGACATACTGATGTTTTTATTATTATTATTATTATTTTTATTTATTTTTTATTTTATTTTTTAAAATAATTTTATTTAAGGGGGCGGCGCCCTAGCGCCCTCTATCGGCCAGCCGCCACTGCTCTGCAGTCCTACTCATCCCAAACCATCTGAATTGGGTTGAGGTCGGGGGATTGTTAAGGCCAGGTCATCTGATGCAGCACTCCATCATCACTCTCCTTCTTGGTAAAATAGCCCTTACACAGCCTGGAGGTGTGTTGGGTCATTGTCCTGTTGAAAAACAAATGATAGTCCAACTAAGCCCAAACCAGATGGGATGGCGTATAACTGCAGAATGCTGTGGTAGCCATGCTGGTTAAGTGTGCCTTGAATTCTAAATAAATCACAGACAGTGTCACCAGCAAAGCACCCCCACACCATAACACCTTCTCCTCCATGCTTTACGGTGGGAACCACACATGCAGAGATCATCCGTTCACCTACACCGCGTCTCCCAAAGCCACTGCGGTTGGAACCAAAAATCTCAAATTTGGACTCCAGACCAGAGGACAAGTTCCACCGGTCTAATGTCCATTGCTCATGTTTCTTGGCCCAAGCAAGTCTCTTCTTCTTATTGGTGTCATTTTTTGCAGCAATTCGACCATGAAGGCCTGATTCACACAGTCTCCTCTGAACAGTTGATGTTGAGATGTGTCTGTTACTTGAACTCTGTGAAGCATTTATTTGGGCTGCAATTTCTGAGGCTGGTAACTAATGAACTTATCCTCTGCAGCAGAGGTAACTCTGGGTCTTCCATTCCTGTGGCAGTCCTCATGAGAGCCAGTTTCATCATAGCGCTTGATGTTTTTTGCGACTGCACTTGAAGAACCTTTCAAAGTTCTTGACATTTTCCGTATTGACTGACCTTCATGTCTTAAAGTAAAGATGAATTGTTGTTTTCTCTTTGCTTATTTGAGCTGTTCTTGACATAATATGGACTTGGTCTTTTACCAAATAGGGCTATCCTCTGTATACCCACCCTACCTTGTCACAGCACAACTGATTGGCTCAAACACATTAAGAAGGAAAGAAATTCCACAAATTAACTTTTAAGAAGGCACACCTGTTAATTGAAATGCATTCCAGGTGACTACCTCATGAAGCTGGTTGAGAGAATGCCAAGAGTGTGCAAAGCTGTCATCAAGGCTATTTGAATATTTTGATTTGTTTAATACTATTGGTTACTACATGATTCCATATGTGTTATTTCATAGTTTTGATGTCTTCACTATTATTCTACAATGTAAAAATAAAGAAAAACCCTTGAATGAGTAGGTGTGTCCAAACTGTTGACTGGTACTGTATATCCTACAAATATATGGTTGCAACATTCCGGGAACCTTCCCAAAATTCCCAGGTTTTAACCAGAATTTTTCAACTCTATACACATACCAGTATTTAGTACGTTTAGGATGTAACCCTGCCTCTTTGTTACCTAGGGCATGCTGGAACCCACCAAAGAGCCAGTAAAACCCATATCAGCGGCAGAGATGATCGCGTCCATAGCACAACAAGCACCTCCAGTGGCCCCAGCAGAGATCATAAGCACTAGTTCACCAGACACATCCCAGGTTGGGACTCCTAAATTGAATCACTATGGTCCTTTTGGGGCACAGTGTTTTGAATTGTATGTTTTTTCAGGCCTTTTAGATTCATTTCAGGCCTTTTTAGATGCATTTCTTCTCATCAGTAGTCATATGAGTATATACCAGGGCTCTCCAACCCTGATCCTGGAGAGCTACCATCCTGTAGCTTTTCACTCCAACCCTACTCTAGCACACCTGATTCTAATAATTAGCTGGTTGATCAGCAGAACCAGGTTAGTTACAACTGGGGTTGGAGCGAAAATCTAGAGGAGGGTTGCTCTCCAGGAACTGGTTTGGAGACCCCTGGAGGTATATACTGTATTGCAGAGGAGGCTGGTGGGAGGAGCTATAGTAGGATGGGCGCATTGTTGTGACTGGAATGGAATAAATGGAGCCGTGTCAAACATATTGAAACCACATGTTTGACTCTGTTCCATTTATTCCATTCCAGCCATTACAATGAGCCCGTCCTCCTATAGTTCCTCCCACCAGCCTCCACTGCTGTATTGGCTGTAAGGCCAATTGTCACAACTGTATACAATCAATAGAGAGAGTGTGTTTATATATATATGTGTTCTACGGTAATTGGTCTAATGTAGAACCTGAGGTGCTTTTCAAATAAGTTGGCCAAATGATTTGGCTGAGAATACTAAGGTTGAGGTCCTGCCCCACAAGATGCGCAGGCATTGCATCAACCAATGGTATCGTGCCACGTCATCAACTGTGCAGCCGGGCATCAGATGGCTCTGTCATATGGGTTACGTTCCCCTGCTCAGACGTTGCATGCATCATCCAATGGTTTTGTGCCACATCTTCGACTGTGTCATCGACTGACAGATTGCTGTAACATATGATGTTGCTTAGCTGATACCTAAAATACCTATCTAGGCGTTGTAATATTTGGGCAGGCGTCAGCAACGCCTGGGCAGAGGAACGTGCCCATGAAGTGGTAAGCTGATATGTTAAATACCTATCCAGGCGTTGTAAGATATGGCATCGGTCTGCTATGTAGTCTGGTAGGAACTCACCCTTAGACTGCTGAGTTGTTATAAGGGTAGAAGCCAGTGGAGGCTGCTGAGGGGAGGACGGCTCATATTAATGACTGGAACGGCACCAGTGGAATGGCATCAAACCAAGTGTTTGATGTGTTTGATACCATTCCACTGATTCCGCTCCAGCTAGTACCACGAGCCCGTCCTCCCCAATTAAGGTGCCACCAACCTCCTGTGGTAGAAGCAGTCCATTAGCAGGCTTCCTGACCACCTGCACCGGCGAATCACCTGTTGACAAAGATTGTTGCTTTTACTGAGTGTCTCCACCCTCTTCTGAGCCTGTTTGTTCCTCCTCACCAGGAAGTGCTCCCGCCCGTCCAGTTTGACTGGAGCAGCAGTGGCCTTACTAACCCCCTGGACGGTAGGTCCCTCCCCCAAACCACCTGCTGAGATATGAACCGTTGTCCCCATTGGCTCTATCCAGAGCTAAGCTATTCTTTTTTTTCCACCACTCAAACTGTTTTGTCCAAACACACAAGCAGCCTAGTCCTGTTTTTGCCTGTTGTCTTCCATTAACTTCCATTGGACAACATCATCTGATGTTTACTTCATCAACCATTGGTCATTACATGTTATAGTTTTAGACAGAGTTTTTGTTGTAAGGACTATAGTATAAGATTACAGAAAATTCTTATCCACATGTTCCAAGATTTTGTGTATTTCATTGCCATGTTGGACCATTTCTGATTTCAGTTGTCAAATCCAGATGCATAAACATATTTATCTCATCAAGTCTTTTCCTTATGCCTTTGTTGTTAGCAACAAATCCAATTATTTTGCAGTTTAGCTAAAAGATCTGCACGGTTCATGCTACAAAGCCATGATGGCCATTCATACTTCAAAATGTCAACGCAGATTTTTCATTAACCTGTAGATAGAATCTCACAATATTTTCTCATTAACACAGCTACGTCAGTTAGCTTGCCCTGGGTCATGTTCATTAGGCATCAAACGGAATAAAACAAGGGACTACCTGGACTTAAGAAACTCGTAATTTTCCGTTGCAAAATGTTTTCAAACGTTTCGTGCCTACTGAACACGACCCCTGTGCTCTTTCTTTGTAACTAATAATAATGACCAGATCAGCTGCATGTCTTTAAGTGCGTCTCTTTCCTGACTTCTTCTCTGTGTTATAACCCGCTGCCGCCTCGGTCTGCCTGTCCGCTATGTTGAATGTCAAGCGAGCGGAGGCTCGTCTCTGCTCAACCTCGATTTCTTTGGGCCCGTGGAGGACTCTGGCTCTAGCAGCTCCACCTCCATCCCAGGTCAGCACAGGAAACTCCAACCCCCTGACTGCCAGACGCTTTTTCATACATTTGTCTGAATCCCAAATGGACCGTTTGCCCCTACACCCTATGCAGAGACCGTAGAGGATTGGATAGGGGTAAACGATACAGTGATCATTCCACCTGTCTAATCAGAAGGCAAGGTGGACCTACTACCATATATGGCTTACACCCATTGAATCCTCTGAGATCTTCACAAGGTGTAGAGGTCTAGGAGTCCATTTGGGATAAGGCCTTATTCTTTCCCCGATTCCTCGTGTCCTCTCACCTCTCTGTCAAAATGCACTGGGGGAGGTCAGAGAGGAGGAAGCTTGGATCTTCTCCTCCAATGAGTGTTGGGAAAGAGGCCAGGACGGAGGGATGACGCGAGGAATCGAGGAATGACGATTGTGAAAGAGCCTCTGCCATGCTCACAGTTTTCTCTTCTACTACTATGTGTTTTAGATATCTTCTTGTCTTTGCTTAGATACTAACCTCACTTAATCAAGGTCTTCTTTTTTCTATGTGTTAATAATACCAACTGAACCAAACCCTGAATCAGAATATCTACCCATATTTGGGAATTGGCTACACTTAAGTGTAATAAAGTGTTCCACCTCCCTTGTTGTGAGTGGAATAGTAGACTGTGTATGTGTCTCGAATAGCTCCCTATTTGGGATGCATCCAATATAATGTGTTTGTGTGGTTAGGTGTGGACCCGGAGCTCTATGAGCTAACCACCGCTAAACTGGACCCCAGTGGCTCTGGGAGCCGTGTGGCTGACGCCTTCGCCCGCCTTATGTCTACTATGGAGAAGACCAGCACCTCGACCAGGTTGGTCTATTACAGCACCTCAAAAATGGATGCATGCAGGGCCATGCACAGACCTTTCAGGGGGAAGGTGCTCAAAATGAAAAAGCTACCTGTGTTCAGTGCTTAATTTGTAAATCAGGAGGTGGCGGAACAAAAAGTGAATGCGAGAGGGGGGGTGACCTGGGGACCTCTGAGGTACCGGAGCGCGTTAGATCTTTTTTTTTTTTACCTTTATGATAAGGTTTTTTATGCATATCATTGCATTTGCGTAGTGGCATAGAGCAGTAGAGTAGAGGCACTTAGAGAAGTTGCACACATGGGGACCATTTTTAGTAGCCTAGGGTCTGGGAAATGTAGTGCCTTTTATAAACACATTTCATGTAATTCTACATCGTTTTACATGACTGGTGGCAGAATCTTTTTTAATACCGCAGAAATGATCTAAATGACAGGCTACTTTGACACTGACAAAGTGAGAATCTGAGATCAATAAAAATGACCTTGTCTTGAGTCCATCAATAGCTTAGGCCTAGGTGTGTGGAGACGCACATTTGCACAATATGAGGAGGAAATTATAGTCCTATAACGGGGTGGCGAACTTGACGTCGTCACAACGACTTGGCGGCAGTGGGTTCAGGCACAGGTAGACCCCTATCTGTGCACATGCCTGTATGCATGCATGACTGTAAGTCGCTTTGGATAAAAACATCTGCTAAATGGCATAAATTATAAATGGCACCCTACTCCCTTTATAGGGCACTACCTTTGACCAATAGTAGTGCACTATAAAGGGAATAGGATGCCATTTGGGACGTACACAGTTTATTATTGCGCCCCTTGGTGATGAGAATAGAAAAACGATAACCTTGCAAAAAAACATCTCGCTCCCAAACATGAAATCAAACGAAATTGTATTTGTCACATGCACCGAATACAACTGGTGCAGACGTTACAGTGAAATGTTTGCTTACGAGCCCTTCCCAACAATGTAGAGTTCAAAATATAAAATAGTAACACAAGGAAAAAAATACACAAGAATGGAGCTATATACAGGGAGTACCAGTACCAGATCCATGTGTAGTAATTGGGTGCAATGATGCTATAAAGGGGATAAGGTTAATATATTTGCCGTCAGTTAGCGCTAATACTTTTAAGTCAAAAGTTACTTAGTTAAATGGCGAACAGACATAAACAACCACTGGTATTTATAGACCTGCATGGCTGGAATTACTTTAACCACATTCTAGTTGTGACCCTTTGGAACAGTTGGTCCATTAGAGGGAGACAGATTTTCTAATGTCACTGTCGGAGCCCCTTACATCAGCATGCAGACAGGATGTAATAATAATATGCCATTTAGCAGACGCCTTTATCCAAAGCGACTTACAGTCATGTGCGCATACATTTTTACGTATGGGTGGTCCCGGGGATCGAACCCACTACCCTGGCGTTACAAGCGCCGTGCTCTACCAGCTGAGCTACAGAGGACCAGGATGTATATGGGAACGAAATAAACACATCTGTAGTAGCTTGCTACATCTTGGCTCTTACATCTTGGCTCTTTTTCAATTCTCTTTTCTTGATTCCTCGTGTCCCCCTTTTCTCCCCTCTGACCTTCTCCAATGCATCTTGAGAAGGAGGTGAGGAAAGAGGGCACAAGGAATCGAGGAAAGAGACATGAGAAAGAGGCGAAGCCCATGTGAATCTGACTGTGGCACATTCATTTAGTGAAGGATGAATGGATGTGTCCCAAATGGCACCCTATTCCCTATGCACCTTGGTCAAAGGTAGTGCACCACAAAGGGAATATGGTGCCATTTCGGATGCATCCCATGTGTGTGTATTCTCAAATAAAAATGGTGTCCCTCTCCTTCTCTCGGATTCTGCAGAAAGCCCCGGAAAGAGGAGAACTTAAGTGAGGAGGCGTTGAAGGTGATTGCAGGGCTACCAGACCTGTCCTTCATGCAGGCCAAGGTGCTGATGTTCCCCACCACGCTGACCCCCCTGGACAGCTCCTCTGACCCCACACCCGACTGATCCACCACCCCCCTCCATTAATGCCCTTCTCCTTAACACTGTCTGTCATTCTATTGCTATATCATGAAGTTATCATTTTTGCTTCCATGCCATCATTGTTTTGTTATTTTCTCCCTTTTTATGTTTTGTTATTTTCCGTTGTAATCTTTTTAATCAAGTGAAGCATTTACTGATTGTCCTTGTGAGTGGAGAATGGTTAGTCAGACCTGGACTAGGCTAAGCCTGTAAAGCGAGCTTTGTCAATAGCAGAACAAGAGAACATATTAAAATAGTTTGTTTAATTTATAGATCAAGGTCCTAGAGAGAGGCCATTTGTTTATAATAGGAGAATCAATGTGTACATAATCAGGGACGAATTGCGTTGTTTTTTTGAAGGTGGTTTTTATGTTTCTCATTGTGGTGGGCGTGTCAATTTTTGTCTTTGTGAGGAAATGAAACACTGTTTGAACCTCTTCAAAGCGAGGCTCGAATAAAGTGAAGTGGGATATACACTGAGTGTTCAAACCATTAGGAACACCTTCCTAATATTGAGTTGCACCTCCTTTTGCCCTCAGAACAGCCTCAATTCGTCGGGGCATGGACTCTACAAGGTGTCGAAAGCGTTCCACAGGGATGCTGGCCCTATGTTGACTCCAATGCTTCCCACAGTTGTCAAGTTGGCTGGCACACATATAAACAATCCATCTCAATTGTCTCCAGGCTTAAAAATCCTCCTTTAACATGTCTCCTTCCCCTTCATCTACACTGATTGAAGTGGATTTAACAAGTGACATCAATAAGGGATCATAGCTTTCACCTGTGTAGTCTGTCATGGAAAGAGCAGGTGTTCCTAATGTTTTGTTCACTCAGTTTTTGACTATACAACAAATATTATATATATATATATGACTTGAAACCACACTGCCTGCAAAATCCAGCTGAATGTTTTTTTCCCTGTTGTGTTGATGGCCTTTTTTTCTTTTGTCCTTTTACATAGGGCCTAGATTTTATCATTAACTTGATTTCTTAACCCATGGCAAAAAATGCGCTGTGTTAATGTATACTCGTTAGTTAAGTCCGATTTAACTGTAGCTTGTCTTTCTTATGTCTCCCATCGGTGCAGTCCAACAGCCATGAAAATGGCGGTATGTCACAGACAACTGCGTTTTGTGTTGAATTCAATTCTTTTAACGTTTTTTTTTTTTCTTCTGTTTTGGGTTCGGGTGGTAAAAAGAGGGGGATCATGTTTTATTGGTTTAAACCACTAACAGGTTGGAATGATTATATCAGTATCATATCAGTATAGCTGGTCTGAGTGAAGGTCGGCCTACATTAAAGGAATAAGGGACCAATTTCTGCTTCCATGTGTCTGGTTATACACACCTTTATGAAGTGCTTTTTTTTAGTTTTGCTGTCATTCTCGACCTATTTCTTTGTGATTTGTTTTGTTGTACCACTGTCAACCTGTTCCCAGGAGGATTTTGCACATTGTAAAGATGAAATGGATGTAATCATAGTTCACTGTGGCTTTAGACTATGTACAGTAAAACTATGGACTGTAAAATGTATGGGGAAAATTCCTATGGAAAAAATGAATAACTTGAAGAGCCTGTAAAAAGGTTAACATGCATGCCCGGGTTCTTTTCAGACTTTAAGTGTGTAAATTTACTTTTAGTGTACACAAGAAATTAAAATAATTTAAGAGAAAAAGTGCTCAATGGTCCTTCATGCTCCATTACTCCTCCCAACAGGGAACGAACAATGAATTCATATCCATACAAACTTGCCTTTTGTGCATGTATTTAATTCCCTAAAACTCTTCTCTATTGAGTGGGCCTCATTTAAAACCAGGCCTAGAGAAACAATGTTCAAATGCTGTTTTAATTCATAGCCATTGGGCTTGGTCACAGTAGTGCTGAAAGGGGAAGTATGGGTAGCTGTGTGGTCTTACAAAGAGGACACAACACACTGGGGCCAGGACTCCAGCCAGCTTGACCAGCTAACAATCATTCAACTTGTTTTATACAGGTAGTTTAGTCAGACTACCGAAAAGCCAATGCTTGGTATGTCTAGGGGTCCAAGGACTGTCCAAAATGATCATAACCTGTGTACAGAAGACGTGCAAGTAAGAGTAAGCATGGACAGGTATGTACCCTGAGGCAAGCAGCTGAGTCAAAGGGGGTGGCAGATAACTCTTCCGTGGTGGGATACACTGGTGCTTCCTCGCCAAAGGAGGCTATCGAGGTGAGGACAGTCTTCCGTTTCCCTACTAACGAAATCACACACTCCTCAAACTACATCGGTTTCCGGGTCACGGAGGACAGACTTTTGCCCAAACGAGAGAACCCCAAGGAAATGGCAGACTAGGCATGCACTTCTCCCGAGTGGCGCAGTGGTCTAAGGCACTGCATCGCAGTGCTAGCTGTGCCACTAGAGATCCTGGTTCGAATCCAGGCTCTGTCGTAGCTGGCCGCGACTGGGAGACCCACGGGGCGGCGCACAATTGGCCCAGCGTTGTCCAGGGTAGGGGAGGGAATGGCCGGCAGGGATGTAGCTCAGTTGGTAGAGCATGGCGTTTGCAACGCCAGGGTTGTGGGTTCGATTCCCACGGGGTATGAAAAAAATAATATATGCACTCACTAACACTTGTAAGTCGCTCTGGATAAGAGCGTCTGCTAAATGACTATAAAAAAATAAAATAAAATAAAAAAATATATAAAAGTAGTCCCGACTGTGGTATACCAGCACAGGCCACTAGTAGTCATGATGGGCACATTTTAGAGCAAAGGTATTTAGCTCTTACATTTTAGTCATTTAGCAGATGCTCTTATCCAGAGCGACTTACAGGAGCAATTAGGGTTAAGTGCCTTGCTCAAGGGCACATCGACTGATGTTCACCTAGTCTGCTCGGGGATTAGAATCAGCGACCTTTCGGTTACTGGCACAACGCTCTTAACCACTAAGCTACCTGCCGCCCTCTTACCTTACCTGCTGGTTCTGGGCTACCTGAAAATTAATTGCACACACCTGTTGTCCCAGATCTAAGTCCCTAATTAGAGGGAAAAAATTAAAACAGCTGGAACTGGATTCGAGGTTATAGAGTGAGTATCATTTCAAATGGGACACATGCACCGTCAATGAACAGGCTGAGAACTGTTGACATTTCATTTCAATTTATTGTATAAAATAAATCTACAAAAGTATAACTGCATTAAAGTCGTATGCACATTTATACATAAAAATAAATCAGATATTTCCGACCAATTAATACATATTGCATAGAACAAGGCACAGATTCAAGGTCAGTGATAAAAATACAGCCGTTTTTGAAAACAGGTCAACTTAAAAATCGGCGAGATGACTGGTAATGACCACATTTACTTCATTTTTTAAAATAAGTAATAAACAATCATGCAAAGAATAGAAGCAGCAGAAATTGCTTTTTGCCCTTTTTGACTGACAATAGAAATGCTTTGTTTTAAAGGCTTTGGATTACTAAATTCATCACTGACAAAATTGTTGGCTAACTGTTTCCCGACTGATCGATTGCCGCAAACAGATGAGACATAGCCCAATACACACTTACGGCATTCACTTCCCTGAAAAACTAAATGAGGGTAAAATATATTACACAGCATCTCTTCACACATTACTATCAGAATTTCACTGCATGTTCTGTACAACCCAAATGTTAGTGTCATGTTTGAATAAATATGTGTACGCCAGAAATTAATAATAATAAATAACTTCATAATCACTTAGTACTAATTATTTTCAAATTTCTTGATGTCTGCAATTGTGTTTGAACCTTACAAGGTTACCCTAGTATTTCACTTGATATCCTTTTGAGTCAGATCAGTTGAGATTCAATACAGGAAAAGGAAACGTAGTCCATCTACAAATAGAGAGTTGAAAGCTCATACACAGCAGTATGATAAATTCAACTAACAAATTACGAATAACACATGAAAATATTGAAAAAACATGAATGAGGCCTATGAAAAATCCAATAACATTGATAAGCTGTCCAGATACAAAATATTCTAAAAGTACCCTCAATTTGGACACATCAGTGTATACCCATGGTGCTGTATGCAAAAGCTGTATATAAATGCACTCTTTGCATTTGGAGAAGAGAGACAATGTATGGCTGTGTTGATAAACAAACAAAAAAATGCTATAGAAATCAAGGAACATAGTAGTAGTACACAGACAAAGGCACTCAAATTGCAATCAAATAAAAGCATTCCATACAGTATTTTCAACATTTTGTTTCCATTTTGGAAAGGCGAGCACAATGCATGCACAGTGTAGTTAAAAAGTCTCTGGTGAAGTCTCGATATTACATTTTACAATTTCCGGACCCAAAAAATAAAATAAACAATGAACATTTCGCCTACGGCACTTTTTATCCGGTTGTTCGTGTTCATTAGGGCACACCATAGCAAAACGCTTCGCAACAGATATCATAAATGAGCATTTCTTATTGGACAAGCACCTTGCCGTTTCACTCAGTTTTCTTCCGTTTTGTGCCTATTGAACACGACCCCGATGTCAGTCAAGACCCCACCAGGACTTCCATGATGTGGTCGAGCTCGGCCAGGTCCATTTTGAAGGGCTGGTTTTGGGCCAGAGGGGGAGAGCCCGCCCCTCCCCCACTGTAGCTGGATAGAGTCTTGACCAGGTCGTCCGCAGTGACCATGGGGTTCGTTTTGGACACCCCCATGTTCGGGGGTATTGAAGAGGCGCCGCAGGGGTGGTTAAAGTCATACATGGAGGTGTCGATGTCCGTGAACAGAATGTCGTCCAGGGCAAAGTCAGTGAGGAATCCCCCGGAGGAGGGCGACATGTCTGTGGGGGCGCTGGGCGGGGGGAGCGGGTCTGCCGACATGGTTTTTGCAGCCTGGCTTTCGATGAGCAAGAGCGACTCCTTGTCCTTTGGGCTGTATGTCCTCCCTTCCTCTTTCACGTCCATCCCTGCTGGTAGAGAGGGTGGGGGCTGGGGTGAAGGTGGAGGAGACAAAGGCAGGGAGGAGGTAGTAGAGGTTGTCACTGCGATGGGGCACAGCTCCTCGATCTCCTCCAAAGCTGAGGAGAAGCTGTCCTTGGCGGGCGGCGGGGGAGGCGCTGACGGTCTCGGGGATAGAGGGTGGTGACCCAGGGGGTGGGGTGAGGACGGCGGCAAGGCGAAGAACAGTGGCGGGTCGTCCTCCAGGAGCGAGGCCGGGGTCAAACCAGAGTCCAGCGATGACAGCGGCGAGAGGGGCGGGGAGAGAACGCCGCCAAACGCGGATGACGGAGCTTCGTGGTAGCCCTCGTCCTCGGTGGCGTTCGGCACCGGCGGCGGGACGGAGAAGAAGAGTGCGCGCAGCCCCGCGCCGCCCTCCTCTTTGAACTCGTGCTGGATGCGGCGGATGACGTTGTTGATGAGCACGCGGCGCTGCAGGGCTGGCTCGGTGGCGGGCGTCCGCGACGGCCCATACAGCTTCATCAGGGAGATGTTTAGCACCGTCTGGCGCTGCAGCGTGTAGTTAACCCTCGAGTGGCTGCCCGGGGCTCCGGCCGCTGACGTGAGGAGCGCCTTGCCCTCCTCCAGGCCGTCCTCATCCAGTTTGCGCTTCACGCCGTTACCAAACATATATCTGTGGGAGAGACCAGAAACAAGGTGTCAGGAGCAAAACATTGAAAATGTTTCTTCATATGTGAAAGTGGTAGTCAGTGAGGCATAGCTACGTGAAAGAATGACTGCTAGAGACGTACCACATCAAAACCAAGTGAGATAGATGCCAGTTACACTTGTATGTGATACGAGTGTTTAAAATTAACAAACATCTGTGAGGGGGAAAAGCCCTCGTTCATAGTTTTATCAGCAATACAACAAGCGGAAAACATCCACTTCTCACTCAAACAACACGAGTTTCCTGGAAACAGAGGGGCTTCCTCGCAAACAGTGACAAGAAATGAGACGAGCAAGCAGCGAACACACCCGCACAGCGTCACAGCGTATTGGGGGGGGGGGGGGATGCCAGGAGGGGGTTTTGGTGTCAGCTGACCAGCTCACATGTGAGGCGGCGTCAGCTGACTAGGTGGGTGGCAGCAAGTTCTGACAAAGTGGAAGCGTCCCAAATGGCACCCCATTCCCTATATAGTGCACTACCTTTGACCACAGCTCTATGGGCCCTGGTCAAAAGTAGTGCACTAAATAGGGAATAGGATGCCATTTGGGACGCACCCAAGCTCCCAACTGAACCACCTGACTCAATCAGAACACGGCGCTAACAGACGTGTCAGCACAGGAAACTACTGACTTCCTGCCCGGACACAGCACAGAAAACAGGCAGAAATGGGCCTGCTGTTTTATCGATTTACGCGTTCAAAATGGTCACATTTGGGCTTACAGAAAGATATAAAGTCTTGGTCCCATGTTTCATGAGCTGAAATAAAAGATCCCCGAAATGTTCCATACGCACAAAAAGCTTACTTCTCTCCAATTTTGTGCACAAATTTGTTTACATCTGTTAGTGACCATTTCTCCTTTGCCAAGATAATCAGTACATCCAACCACGCCAGCCCAGGACCTCCGCATCCGGCTTCTTCACCTGCGGGATCGTCTATATTATTATTCTTTATTTTTTGTATACATTTATTGACATTTACAGACACACAGCACAACATAACCGGGCCCCCTTCTAGGTAGGAAAGGAGTAAAATGTATAGATAATTATGATCTTGGCAGATCGAGGTGGAGTTTTGTCATATCCATTCCAACTCATTCACTCACCTCCCTTATTTCTTGTCAGCCTGTCTTTCTGAGATGAGAAACAGATAAAGAGGTCAGAAAACAACGAAGGAAAAATATACTCTACAGTATCATACACACTAGGCTAGGGTTCCCAAACTTTTTTGGCCCACCACCTCATTTTGATGTCTGAGAATTCTCGCGATCCCAACCATTTGGGGGAAAAACAGTGTAATTAACAGCCAATGTTTACTTTTTATTTATTTAGGGCTATGGCAATCAATTGAAAAACATTCTCACAGTATTTCTGATTGTCTTCTCAACTCACCATCACATACTTTTAATGTAGGGCTATGACAGTCAGTTGATAATTTGTCTGACATAATGCATCTTCTCACCACCACTAATGAGATGGGTGTGCTTAAGGCATGTTGCATCAGAGCTTCTCAAAGTCAGGGGGCCGTGGTCGCACCTCATCTCTGCAGTCACATCCAACCTGGATCGACATTTGGTTTTAATGCAGACGAGACCACTGATGGCGCTTTCAAGACAACTGGGAACTCTGAGAAATATGGAGGTGAAATCATGACGTCAGTGATCTTCAGGTCGGACAGTCGGCGCTCTAGAAAGAGGCCCGAGTTGGAATTCCGAGATGGATGACCGTTCAAATACATGCCCCCCCCCTCCCCCACTTTTGAAAGACTCGCTCTCCAAAAATAATTATTTTATCTGAATCCACTGATTTTGGTCACTTATCTGTAGAATGCTTTTGTATTTCCCCTGCACGCTTGTGTTTAGTTCATTCAGTTTCCCAAATATGCCTGTTACATAGGCAAGGAGACATTTTCTTTTCATCAACCAAGTCTTTTTTATTTTTTACATCCATTGTGAATGACAACAGTTCCTCTCTCAATGCGAAATAATCTTTCCAACACTCCTCCTCGATAACCACCAAGCCTTGGTGTGAAATAGAACATTGTCATATCTCCACATAGTTTTGTGAACAGGCCTGCGTGCAGTGGATGTGGTTTGATGTAGTTTACAATTGAAGTTACCTGCTACAGTAAGTATATCTCTGAGTTCTGTGCTCAGCTCTTTTGCCGCCAGTTGCTCTCGGTGTATAATACAATGCGTCCATATGGCAGAGGGAGACACATTCATAACTAGAGTGCAGAGATGGAGCCCCCATCTGTGCAAAAGTCCATCATTCGATCCCATGGAATCTGTTTTTCGTCAATTTAGCCACGCAGCACACTGAACATCCCCTGTGATGTTTCATGCTTGGGAATCATGAGACAGAACAATATGTCCTTGTGAATAGCATCCCCCGACACACCAAAAGTCAATGCATGGGCATCTCGGCCCTCACACACTGTTTTCACCATATCAAATGCGGCCGGTTATATCAAAGTCTGCAGTAGTGTGTGGTTTCATAGCGTAGCGGGCCAAGCCATTCACCGTGGAATGATTCAAGTGCAACGACCAAGTGCGGCGTTCTCTGGTTGAATTGTATCTTTTAGATTTGAATAATTTTCATTTAGATTTTAAGGTAAACTACATTACAATGATTGAGATAAAGACAATATCATAATATATTATTTATTTTTTACAGGATTTTTTTCAGGATTTGGGAAATTCTCCCACGACCCTATTTTCATATCAGGGACCCCTAGTTTGGGAACTGTGCACTAGGCACTAGAACGCCTCCTAAACTGTCACCTAAGATGGAGCACAGAGCACACCTCTCTTGCAGTGCATTGTCTCCCTGGCACGTGTAACTCTACCCTGATACATAAACTACTGCACACAGCCTGCGAGAGACTCGCCCCTTTCAGTCGGTTGTGTAACGTATGCTACCAGCATGAAAGCCAGAGGAAAAGAGATTCACTATCGCATTTCCAAACCGTGTTCTTGTAGAGCACATTGCTGTGCGTGTGAGAGTGAGTGAGAGTGTGTGTCTCAGCTTTGCTTAGAGACACACACGCCAATTGGACTCTGAACACTGTGAGCACACCAAACCCCGTGGCTGCGCGTGGCTGGGGAAAGCTACCTCCACACTCGCCTGTTACCATGACGAATACAGTCAGCTGGGAATCCAGAGAGAGAGGGAGGAGGGACGGATGAGGTAGGAAGGAGGGACAAGCGAGGGAGGGAGGAAAGAACCTAATTGTTTCTCCACTCAGGCTGCCATCACTATTGCAGCTGGTGCTGCTGCTTGGATATGGAAGTGGAGGTGAGAGAGCAAGTTGTGTGTGTGCAGTGCACATATGGAGTGCATCCCAAATGGTCCCCTACTCACCAGTGCACTACTTTGATGTAGGTAGGCTACATTTTGTAGTAGTTCCCTCGCTGCAAATACTATGCCTCCACATACCTCCCCCACTCAGTAAAATTATTCATCAGCCCCCTCTTCCACCCCTGCTCTGTGCTCTGTTCACTTATTCTTTTCACACGTGGGGCCCTTCGAGGCTGCCATCTGCTGACACTGTCTGAAGACTGGTGCGAGATGGAGAGAGACTGAGAATAGAGAAGACTGACAGGGGATTGTGGGTGACGGGGAAAAACAGGGTGACAAAGAGAAAGAGAGGAAAGGAAAGTGAAAGGGAGAGTGTTTTTGAGATATAGAGAAAACAATAGAGCAGCAATATAGTAATAGACACACCTTCCGTTGACAAAACAACACAAAAGTGTCCAATTACAACAGCATTCCGGCCACACAGAATGCTTTCTTTCACTCCATACTCGCAGCAGGCTTACAGCGATGGCACTCAGATTACACTCAGATTGCCTCGTCCCAATGTCCACCCCTCGAGCACATGACCACTTTAAAAACTCATGTCCCGACATGAACTTCTCGGTTCTCCAAGAGCTCTCTGTTCCGATACACCAGGGTCGTATTCATTAGTGCACACCGTAGTGCAACATGTTTTAACGGAAAAAACGAAAACAGGAGTTTCTTATTGGACAAGTTCAGGCAGTCCCTCCCCGTTTGCTTCCTAGTGAATACGACCCAGAATCCGTACGCATGTTATTGATAATTATTCAGTAATGTTATTTCAGCGTGTACTTCCATGAAGTGCCAGGGATTTGTAGAGCCCCATCTGGGACAAGGTCAAAATGTCATTGGAATTATTTATTTTTTTAGGGTGGTAGCAGGCAGCTGCATGCCTCACATACTCAGCAGGCATCGTCATCCTGAGGAGGGTCTCGGTTGTACACCAATTTCCAATACCAACTCTGCAGTGCACACTTAGGCTGGAAGAGCAATTCCAGATCCTGCACTTTTCTCAATGGCACACAGTGCAGCCTGCACCTGAGATTTCATTCATCAACAAGCCTAATCATTCTATTTTCCACACTATTTCTTTCAAGTTCTTCCAGACATCCAAGTCCTTCAAGACTGCAGTAAAAGTTAAACACATATTCAGCATGCAAGTATTTTCGGTCTTGATTTTGCCCAAAAGGTTCCTGGAAGAGAATAATTGTATGCCAGGTTGAAAGACAAGGTTCACTGTTGGGCTCTGGTCATGCGAGAAACCACACTCAGAAGCTGGGCTGGCCTGGCATTAGGGTTGTTTGCCCAGGTTTCTCCAGCAGGCAAGTGGATGCTTGTAGCACTGATTTACTGGGATTGTTTGGAAGAGACTCAGACTGCGTCTGAAACGGCACCCTATACAGTGCACTACTTTAGACCAGGGCCCTGGACAAAAGTATTGTACTATATAGGGGATAGGGTGCCATTTTGGACAGACCTTGTTTGGAAGAGAGGCAGAGTTACAGAGAGTTATTTTGATTGATCACCAAGAGGGGGATTTTGGAGCCAATTTGGCTGAAATATTTAGGTGAACTTCAGCCCTCCTGCTCGCATATTAGAAGAAAAATAAAAAGAGGAACAAACTGTGTTTACTGGAAACCAGAGCAGACAGAGTCAAGGAAGCAAAGGTGGACTTCAGTCACGGAGATGGAATGCTCCGAGTCTGGTAGTAGTGTGGACTGTGTGTCTACCGTAAATCTGGGCAGATTCCTTGTGGTTGTTCGTTGCATGTTGGTAGCCCTTTGGTGGGTTTCATACTATTCTTTTTCATATTTTATTAATGCCTCAATCCAATTATTTGGTGTTTTGATGGGCAATTCATAAATCTTTAACATCATTATTAAAACAAATGAAGGAAATGTTCCATTAGGCCTCAGAGTTGAATTGCGGTATAATCATTTCCAATGCATGCAACGGAACTCTACAAAAAAAATAGAAAACATCCATATTTCCCTGCGCAAATATGAATGGCACTCAGCCCTGCAGTTGAAATGCAAATAACACTTTGCACTGTTAGGTTCCTACAAGGCAGCAGCCAGAACTAGCCCTTTTTGCCACCCACATCTCTGAACCAGTGCTAAACTATTTGGAAATCTGAACAGCAGTAGTTAAAAGCTTTACAAAACAAAGACAGAGGGCTGTATCAGATTCATTCAGAGGCCCCATTCTCCCAGTCAAGTCTATATAAGTATGGCGTCCTCATGAACTTTTAGCCTGAACAGTTTGAAAAGGCATGTAGGTTTCTATTTTCTAAACTACTAGTTTGGCTTCCAGGAACTATGGCTCATCATCTTCATGTAAAAGGTGACAATGAGTCACTCAAACAAATCAGAACTTGATGACCAAGTCAATATCTGATGAGTCACGACAAAGCTATGGGCAGGTCTCAAATGTAAAAACATGCACCATTACATAATGCTCCTGTACTTACAAAGTAGCAATTGTACTGGGGCCCAAATGAACAGCAACGTTTTCAGTGTACAAAGTTATATTGGTGTGAAGCTCCTCCTCCCACTCCCTCAACGACTTACATGACACCAAAAAGTTGTTTTGTAGCCTAGGCCCTATGATCACTGTTGATATGACATGGCTCTAGCATTTAGAACGAAACGAAGTCGCGTGGGTGTCACTTGCTTTTTCAAATGTCAGAAAAACATTATTCAACAGGCAGACGGACTACAGGAAAAAAGAAGCAGACATTCCCACTACTGGAGCATTAACACTGCGGGAAATTGTATGGATGACTAGCCGACTAACAACGACTTTATTTATTGATAAATATTTTTAATTTAATGGTTTGGGTTTTCTGTAATGCCAAAACGCATGCTTGATCAATTCACTGTATGAACTGTCACTGACGTATCACTGTAGCTGTCACAACAGCTGCCCTTGACCTCCAAAGGCAAACGCCACAGATAGCCTATGGCTGTGATGGGGGCGCCATAGCCTACTCACCGCCACCTGCCACAAAGTACTCAGTCGGCTCTTCACTGAACTGGAGACTTAATAACAATATTACGTTCTCGTTTCGAACATTAGGGCCTCCTTCCACATGCGATAATGTAACAGTTGCAACATTATAACAGACAAGTAGCAAAACGTAACAAAAAAGCCACTCAGACGGCGGCGCTCTCTCTCTCGACTCAAGACACAGCAACAATAAAATGCGACAAAATGCTTTTTATAAAAAATGGCAAACAGGTAAATAACGGCTAATAATTCATTGATACGTAAATCAACGCATAATTATTCCACGTTGAATCGTGTTTAAATAAGTGGTAAAGGCAACGCAATCATAAACTTACCACATGTAGTTCCAGCAAGGGTTTCAAATCCTGCATCGGGGTCAATGTGACGCCAAGAACAGAGGATCTACAACGAGGAACACGGGACATCGAACTCTTCGCCGTCGACGTCTATACTTTCATTTCCCCGCCGCGGTTCTCCAAAATAGCCGTGGAGCTCTACACAATGGCGAGATGTCGAGGAGACCGATGAGTCTAGTCACAGACAACTACCGTTCACTGAACAGCAAGACAGGCACTGCCTGAGCTAATTTTTTTTTCTTCCGATAGACATACAACCACACTGGCTAGGAATGACGTAAAGTGAAGATACGCTCTGAACGGACTGTGTTGACTGGTACGGTGGCACACGCCTCGCCCCCATGTAGCTTGGGAAGCCGCTAGTGGGCGCTATGCATCTCCATTATTGTCTGGCCTTAATGTGCCCAGCCGGTAATACACTAGTGTGCCCCGGCGAACGGTTTGTACTTAAAACATTCTCAATTCAGGCTGCAAAGGCTTCGATTTCCTCCTTAACTCGATTTAATGTCGAGAAGGCTACAGAAAAACTGGGGAATATATGCGTACTTTCCCTTATGAAACACCAATTTTCCCCCACCATGCTAGAGTGGCTAAATGCTAGTCCCAGATGTTGGGTATCACGTTCAGCCAATCAGGTTGCAGCAGTCTGTTTTTTTCACCCCTAACCTAACATAGCAGCGTAAAAGAAACAGGGATAGTTTCAAAATAAATGTTGTGTTTACTGAACATAGTTTTAAATTACGTATTGGATTTGTTGCCATGAACTCGTTTACAGAACATTATTCCGTTTTAATAAGATGAAACATTTATGAAGTGAAATTATAAAGTTACAATTTGATTTAGAGTAGAATGTATTTTTTTAAACCCAGATACAATATGAAATTAACGTAATGATTGTTTTGTTTGCAGGTTTATTAAATGATAATTTCATAAATGTGTGCAATCTGAAAAGTGTATTTAACAGTCAAATAATGAAACAAATTGGATCAGAATGCTCTTACTAATCACCCTATTTCTCTCTCTCTCTCTATGCCTGAGGACACCTTGGCCTGATGATTCCTCCTGGCTTTGCCTGTCCCAAATCTACCGGGTCCTGCTGCTGACTACCTGGACTGATCCCTGACTATTATGCCCTTTACCACTACACCCACATACCTAACTAGCTAACTTAATTGCATATTGCATTTTATTTCGAAACTATCAGACCAGGGCTGCAGTCCAAACACGAAATTTTTACCCCCTCAGCCCTCGCGCCAGCCACTTTCCTTTGGGGGAATCCACGTCAAAACCGGATGCAGTTTGATTGCCATCTTAAGTGGAGGTAAAATTCCCTAATGTTGCCCACTCCGCCATTGATTTAGCTCGAGGGAGCAAGTGAAGAACTTTGATCACTTGTGGGGAACTGTAGTCACGTGTCATACTCCGGTGGCCGCGAAGTGTGAAATGTAATCAACACGACTGCATTTTCGGCATGTCAGACAAAATTATTAAGCTGTCTTGCAACAACAAAAAATATAGATGACATTGATTTTAGCGTTGGAAAATTGGCTTAGTATCGTAGTGAGGACCAAATAAAACGTAGCTAGCTTCATAAATATATTTTTTGGAATTCTTAAATGTATTGGAATAAATGACCAAACTATAAAACTAGCTAGCAAGCTATGGATAACTGCCGCTAGCTAGCTACGTTAGCTTGCTAGGTACATTAGTAGCTTTAGATTGGCTGTTTTAAAGCTCAATTTCAAGATTTCCACCAAGGACGTTGGCTCTCTGATCATCACTCTTCCTCGCTTGGGCAGGGTACACTCGGATGTGGCGATGTAAAACGTAATTCAAGGGTTGAGGGTTTAGGGCCAAGCAGGGACGGCCTGTTCAATAGGGCGATATGGGCGACGCACTGCCAAACGGGAAAAGGAAGGGATTTTTTTTCTAATCAATTATATCACGGCAACAGTAGTTATCAGTGTTGTAATCTGATCTGACTGCCACTAAATGTCAAATCAGGCTAAAGTCGTGCTTCAAATGGCCCCGCCCGTTTTTGGGGCGATTTCAGTCAGGTTGAAAATCGCCCAGAAGTCTCTCATAGCCTGTCATGTAAAATCTATTTTTTTCAAATTTCAAAGCTTTCAATACATTCTCTATGGGTGTCTGTGGGCTTGCACTTACGCGCTTTCGTCATACGTGACGTAACCATGAACGTAACTAAGAAAATAGCGGCTAGCAGCGTCTCTGTTGCGACCTGCAGTGTGGCGTTATCTTATGTTTTTAATTTGTACACTTAGTGGCGTTATTTTATGTTTTTAATTTGTAGACTTAGTTTACAAACATTCTGCCAACCATGGATTTCCAGTGGTGGGTTTTGGACTGATCTTGTTGATCGTGTACATATCCGCTACGAACGGACTAAATAATGAAAACGCTGCTGGCAGCGGAATCCAATACAGCTGGGAGACTTGGCTGGATGACAGAGTCCCGGACAGAGAAGTGGAGCCGGCCGGCTTCACCCTGGTCAGAGCGGACCGCGATCCTGGTAAGAGAGCGACTCTGTACCCCCGACATTGAACTGCTTTCTGTGTCACTGCGACCTTACTATCTGCCCCGTGAGTTCCCCCAATTGTTTGTTACCGTTGTGTACTGTTGATAATCACAAGTTTACTGGAGAACTGAGACCAAGTAGAGACTTTGGACAGGGTGGATATGGTATAATAAAGGCAGTTTATTCAGAGGTAAAGATATCTGGAATCGCGTGCACGGACTCGTTCGTCAAACTCTTAGGGAGCTATCTGAAGAGAGCCCCGAAAACATTGTGTGCAGACATTTTATACAATAAATGATGTAGGTTGAATCTAGTAGTTCTGATCTTCTGATTGGTCCTGATGAGTTGGGCGAGGTCCCCTCCACTGTTGCATTGGCTCTGAGTCGGGTTCTCTGTCTTCAAATGTTCAGCCTAAAGAGAGGGGATTTTTGTGTGTGTGTGTGTGTGTGTGTTTAACAGTGATGATGTGTGTGTGTGTGTGTGTGTTATCAGTGATGATGTGTGTGTGTGTGTGTGTGTGTGTGTGTGTGTGTGTCCTCAGAGCAAGAACTCGTGAGTTGGAAGAACTGCGAGACCTATGGCGTGGGTGTTGTCCTTGGCCACCTGCTGACAAGGCTGACAAGATAGGACTCTTTTGTCCATTGTTATAGGATAGGAACAGCATTGATTGAAAACAAACGCCCAACACAAAATGGGTCATGCACAAGATTTTAGTCAGACCAAGCTATAACATTATATATTTACTACGACAGTACATTCAACCAAAAGCTAATATAACAAAGGCATCAGAGATTATTTATAATCTGTCACAGAAACTGGAATCCATCTCCCCAGATCAGTCAATAAATGCTTCTGGTATTGACTTATATGCTGCCCCTGTCTTCATGTTGTTGCTGGACATATCTTTTTTAAAATGTGTGTAGGTCACCTAAATCATCAGAAAAATTGCCCCTCCTGAGAATTTTTTCAGGAGCCGCCACTGGGGCCAAGGGCTGTCTACTTTGAATTTGGACTGCAGCCCAGGGGTTCGGTTTGTTTTACGCCTGCTACATTAGGTTAGGAGTGAGAAAACAGACTGCTGCAACCTGATTAGCTGAATGCGACATGCAATGTCCGGGACTAGCATATAGACACTAGCATGGTTGTGGAAAATGGTGTTTCATAAAGAAAGTACGCATATTTAAAATTCCCCGCCTTCTAGCCATTAAATCGAGTTAAGGAGGAACTCGAAGCCTTTGCAGGCAGAATGGAGAATGTTTTAAGTATGAACCGGTCGCCGGGGTACACGATTGTATTACCGGCTTGGCACATTAAGCACAGGCGATAGTGGAGATCGATAGCGCCAACTAGCGGCTGCCCAGGCTACCCCATATTCACTGACCAGACAAACATAATAGCATAAAATTAAACAAAACTCTATAAAGTTGGATTTTGTTGCGCTAGTATAAATATCCTAGGCTAGCCTATAGATCAACACTCATTGTGTGTGTAGGCAGCTTTCAGGCAGAATAATAATGATAACATGTAATTGAGAGAAATAGTCATAGACTATTCTTGGGAGCATTCTCTTGTCAACTAGTCTTACTGTGAGTGAGCAACCACAACTATGTAAGGCATCCAAGCTATTCAACATTAGACATCTTGGTATTAGCCAGTGTAATATTGTAATGCATTCTTTCTATGTTAGCTGGGGAAATTAAATGTGTTGACAATGATCACTCCTACAACGTAGATCTAATGTACATCACAAAGTGTATTACTATTACCTCAAAGTGTTATTTGTGGCATTATAATGCTTAGAAATCAAACCAGCAACTTTTTCTGAAACTCTCAAAATAGTTTTTAGTCAATTGCCATCTGTCACTCTGGCAACAGCTTCTCCATTGACAACTGGAGACAAATTTCAATTAGTCAAACAGGTTAGAACTATGCTGCAGCAGAGAGCTTCAAAGACAAACACATGGCCACACGTCCAAAACACCCAGGACATTTAAAACAAGCACTTAGTCAGATAATAGAGCATAAGCAAACTGCAGAAATAATCATTTTTATCAAGGGATTTATCAAATGCTTATATGCCCAAAATGGACGCGGGTCGTTATGTGGCTTTGCACACACCTTTGTGCAGACGCTCATTTAGGAAAGAATGATGTGAGCGCCATACTACTCCATTCTCTGGCATCTGTTCAATAATGTGGTGGTTATCCCCGAGTTAGGCAGAGCATGACATAATTGCAACCAGATGGCAAGAATAAAAACCGGAGGATTCTCCAACACAAGCAGCTGATTCCCTTCAAATTAATGCAGGAGCTGAAGATATGGCATTCCCATCTGTGACCAGTGGAACCCGTTCTGAACTTTGGACTGGTTCAAAGTTAAGTTTAACACCTCAGCGTAAATCAGCACAAAAGCCAAGGTTAAAAGTTAAGGCCAGAAACACAGTACATGAGTACTAACTAAGGGAAGTCAAGTGAATGTAGTAACATTTAAATAAATAAAATGACAATGGCCATTAGCAGTGCCACAGCTGGTAAACAGTCGTGACAGAAGGGCAGCAGTAGTCCGGGCTAGGGGTATTGCTGTCCCTCCTAGGGGCAAGAGAGGGGGGCCTGGGTTGCCAGTTGTGAGCGGAACGAGCGCTGCTCTCCTATTTTGGGCCTGGCACCAGTTGAGACAGGGTTGCAGGGCTCCTGCAGTCATCATGGTCTCTCTCCCCTCTCACGTTTCACCCGACCGTCCGTCCGTCCACCCACAGACAGACGGACCTGAGACTGTACAGAGAGC